CCCCCCCCCCCCTCCCCCATTTCTTCCTCCCCCATCCCCTCTTCCAACATCACAGTGCCTGGCAAAACACAACCACAGCACAAATAGGCTCTTGCACTTTTGCCGCCCTAATCTTTCATGTCCACGACTCCCCATGTTTTCCTCTTCTGTCAATATGTTTTCCCTTTTTGGACTTTTCCTTTTCCCATGCATGTTTCATCTTCACGATTCTTCAGAGAAAATCTCTCTTCCACTTTTGTTTGCATTTCCCTCCCCTCAACTCCTTTTGAGAAAATCTCTCTTCCCACTTTTGTTTGCATATATCCTCTCTCATTCACATTACGCTGCCCATTGGCACTCCTCCCCAAGACTGGCCTGTGCTGGGGGATGAAATCGGCCCATCTCTCTGAGCCTTAGCCCAGAGGAGGTAGGGCAAGGCTGCTCGGGCATTCTCACATGATGGCTTTTCTAGGAGAGCCTGGTGTTTTTTTCATCCAGAAACATCCCAGGAAGTCCGAATAGCAGTACCCCCTAGGCTTTCAACCGGATAAAAGATTAGGCAACTAGCATCTGCAGAGATCTAAAATAGAAGGTGTAGGCTGGGTGATTACCAGAGGGTCCTTATGTGCGATCATCGATTGCTGGGGCTCTCACCATCCCACTTCCGTAACCACCAGGACGGGAGGCTTCCATAGCCAGAAGCTCCAAACACAACAGGCATCCATCGCTGGGACTATCTTAACTCTTGGCATGCCACTTCACACTGCTGACTGTGAAATCATAACACACCATTTCTCTCGCTCGGACAGGGAACTCTAATAAGCTGGAGATGGTCTTACGTTCATGAACGGCGGCTATTCTGAGAATGCAATATGGCTTTGCCTCGTACCCTTGGTTAATTCATGAAAAACGTCAGAGATTGTGGTCTAATTCAAATACACTCTTCACCCACTTTGACGCAAGCATTCTACTAAGAAAGGTGAGTGCAGGTCAAGCGTATCCAAATCACACACACTCTTGTTCTTCACATGTGCTAATGCTTTTGCCGGGAGGCAAGTGAGCAAGCACTGGGGGGGGTAAGGGGAAAAAAACAAAAGCGGACCAGCCGGAATTGTGTGTGTGTGTGTGCATGTGTGTGTGTGCATGTTATGAATTTGCTAAATTAAACTCCATAAAAAAAAAGGTTGGCGGCGACAAGCTGTTCTGACGGATTTCACAAAGACATCGGGGGACGCTGAACCTTAACAGTCTTGCCCGGATGCATTTGACTGATAGCTAAGGACTCGCCACCTTCCCCAAACTTCAGTCTTGCCAGGATGCATTTGACTGATAGCTAAGGACTCGCCACCTTCCCCAAACTTCACGAGACCTATCCTAGAATCCTACCAGATTGCCTAGTCTAGACCCCAGACAAGAACTCTAGCAAATCCTGGGTTTGTCTATGATTGTTGTCATGCTCATTATACATGCCGCAAAAGAGGCATGACTGCACCAGACTGTTTCGTCGGACTTTCGCTGACTTACCAGGAGGTTGAACCTTTAAAGTCTGCCGAGGATGCATATGACTGCAGGATAAGGACTCACCACGTCACCCAGAGTTTACCCCTGAGAAATGTCATCGATTTTACTCTCACCATCCCTGCAATCCTAGCAGACTATCTAGTCCAAACCCCTCACAATAACAGTAGTAAGTCCTTGATGTGTGTGTGTAGGTGCACGCAGGCAAGTGTGCATGTGCGGGCGGGCGTGTGAGCGAGCAAGCAAGCAAGCGAGCGAGCGAGCGAGCGAGAGAGAGAGAGAGAGAGAGAGAGAGAGAGAGAGAGAGAGAGAGAGAGAGAGAG